TCCTTCAGTGCTGTCCAAATTCAGCTGTGGAAGATTCCACTTCAGAGAAAAACCATCGACCGCAACTCTACACTTATGCGATTGCAAGGAAACAGTACTCGGCTACTTTTCGCAAATTATTGAGCACTTGCAAGAATTGAATTAGAACTTGGAGAGGCGCTTGAGATAATCCAAGACCATGAAGGTATGGTTGCACTATGTATGAGCGTAGTTAAAGCATAATCTACTCCAACATGCTGATCAGCCCAAATGTTGAAGTGTCTGATTCAAAACATTTTGCGAGGTTCACATCCGTCTTATTACCTGAGCTTCCCAGCGGAGCACTTTACCGTGCCAGAAGGGCATCGCTTTGTTGGGTACGAATAACTCGGTCAGTGAATTACAGGAGCGAAAAAAAAACAGTCTCTCTCGAGTTTCGTGCTTTCATTTCAATATTGAAATGAGTCTGTTTAAATATTGAAATTAAATAACGGGCGTGAAAATATACGATTTCAATATCAAACCAACCCAGGGGGCGGCAAAGAAATAACGAAATTGAAATGGGCGCGAGCTGTGGGTTTAGGTTGGCGTGGGCCCGTCCCGGCCCGCCGCGCCGAGGCCTTCCGTTGTTCATGCTCTCCTTAAGAGTGACGTATACTGCTCAGCGGCGGCGGGCGCATCTCAGCACCCGGCGCTGGGCGACTTTACAGCACCGACACGAGCTGCAGACGGACCGGGACGAGCTGCCGACGGCACTGGACGAGCTGCCGGCGCGCCGGGACGAGCTGTCGCAGCTGTCGGAGCTCGGCGCTCTCAAACACCATGCTAACGCCGCGCCCGTAAAGTCGCCGCCGAGAGCCGGGGATATTGACGAATCTGGCCGGCAGCCCGTCCTTCCAGCGCTGCGCCGCGCCAATCCGATCAGCCGCGCTGACTTTGTTTGAGAAGCCGAGTAAAACCGAGCCAAGCCGCGCCGGAGCGGAGAGCAGCTGCTCAGTAAATTCGGTCCTTTTCTGGTGTCGTGTTCAGAAAAAGTGGCTGAGAGAGACCGAAAGGGGGTCAATGTTTACGAAATATGAGCTCAATGTGCGTCGTGCCGCACCAGCAGAGTTTGCCATAGTTTTGCATTGCCACATGTGCTTTGTGCCTGGGAAGACAAATATTATTTAGTCGGTAGTCTGGTTTCCAAATTTATCGCAGATATGTACATGTAAATGTCATTTTCCGCCACCACACAGTAACATCGACGGCCTTCTGCCGTTCAACGGGCAAAATTCAGTCAAATCAATTTGGCATGAGGCTCAATAACATAAAAAAAACAAATACATTTACTACCCAGGCATGTATAAGCGAGGCAAGCCGCATGAAAAGCCGTCGTTGCATGACTGTTGGTCGTCAAATGGCGTAGAGAGAACTCCAGATTTCCGACGGTGAGATGACAGAGACAGACGAATGCGCCAAGTTTGGACCAGAGCGATTGCGCTCGATTCACGGCCCGCCGAAAACTTCCGTCCGATAGAGCTGGTTAATAGAACGAAGGCAACTTACAGTATGTCAGTCTTCGACAGAGCACGATAAACTTTGGCTACTGCCTCTGAAAGCCTAAACTATGCTTTGGTAAACTTTTACTGCGGTTACAAAGGTCGTCTCTATATAAATTTGTATCACGGCATTCACAGCGCATCAGGCACTTGTCTCTAAGTCCGTCTGGCACACACGATACCAAAGTGACGGATAGTATGTTTTCGTGGCCATAGTTTGCGATCGAAACATACTCCTTTCTTTTAGAAAACCACAGTCCTTTGTCAGGTATCATGTTTCCTAGAGCCAGGCATCAAACTAATCGGGCCATCAGGGCGTTTCTGTTATCCGCGTTTCTTGTGGTCTTGCTGCCGCCTCGAGGTGTCACATCAGACAAGAACGATGCAACAATCCGATTAATACTATTAATCAACCTGATGCTGGTCCATGACTATCGAGCCCAATGCCCATATTGATTGTCGGTCTTAGACTGTTGCCGGAACGGTCTGCATTAGTTGTAAACATTATCCCATCCAGTGCAGGAGCCACTAACACACAAATCCGAATGATTTGAAGGCGATCAGGCTTGTTCTCGAATCAGACAGCCAGGCTAGTTTCACTTTTCCACCAATGGCTGGCTGTCAGAAGTTTGACCAGCTGAGCAGAGCCATTCATCCGCTCTGCACACATGTCATAGTCTCCAGTCTCAGACGTCACTCGTAGTCAAAACGTCACTGCCGGGTGACCCTCCAATCCCACATCACCGGCCGCGCGCTGGGTCGGAGCGCGGTCCGCCGTGCCGCGCTGTCGCCTGTCCCCGAGGTCCCACATGTCGACCGTCAGCGGCGGGCGCGTCAGAGCGGCGGCGGCGGCGCGGCGCTGCCGGGTCCCCCGGCGCCAGCGGCCTGCAGCGCCGGCTGAGCGGCTATTCTCGGTGTGAGAGAGGTCGGCTCGGGGCCCGGTCAGACTGTTCCGCTCCACCCCGAGCCGGACCCCGGTCTGGATCAGCCCGTCACGGCTGGTATCGACCGAACAGGGCCGGCGCCGCGGCCCGATCGGACGGCGCGCCTCCTGTCAAACCCATCTTCACGCCCCCATGGCAGACACCAACAGCTCAGCGCGCCGGCCGACCGACCGAGCGGGTGGCAGTGGCACTCTGCCGGGCTGCCGGGGCACAGCGCCGCCCACCAGCCAAGTCAGTGGTGTAGTGTGACCCAAATCTTATCACTGGCTCTTTCTCAATTCAAAGATGCCGAGAAGTATGAGGGATTGCGGATGCTTTCAGCTGCCAGGAGATGCTTAATCAAACGCTACCGTATCTTTCTCAGCGGCCATCGTACTGCGCCGATGTAAACAGCGCTACAGCTGGTCAAAGCCTGTCCAAATTACTGCACTCCCATGTAGCCGAGCGGGCCGACACCGGAGGCCACTATTGGCCGCCTAGAGTGGCCCGGAGGCCGCCGATGCAGCATTTCCTGCCGTCCCGTCTGCCCACAGCCGCTGACCGGAGCGGTGCTGACCTGGCCCGTCCTGCCCGACTACGACCCCCACTCTGCCGACACCGAGACGGGCAGCGCCGGATCGAGTAGGCTTCCAGACTGACCGCCGCCGCCCGCCTGAGCAGAAGATGTCCATTTTAGAGCCTGTTCCTCGAGCCAGGGAATACCGTCACAAAACAGATGACAGTATATTCAATCTGCCATGTGCATCTGTCAATATGTAACTAGCCGGGGCGGCGTCGGCTAGGTGTACTGTAAAGAGCGGGCGTGTGTGGGTTAGTGCGTGTGCATGTGTGCATGTTGACCTAAATGACCGTTTTTTTATCTTTACGACTGCAGGGTGCAGAATAGCCACTGAACTATGTGGATGTGCCCCTTGACGTAAATACATACATACATACAAACTATTAGTGATGTCAATTACGGAAAATCGTGAAACCGATACCAAACCAAATACCAGCAATACCAATGGGAAAATACCGAAACCGAACCCACTTGGGAATATGAGGGAAATACCAACTTTTTATCGAGCTCTCAGCTTCTTTTACATTAGTGAGGATTCATAATAGCAACAAAATACCAAATGCATTCGCCATGAAATACCAAATACCAGGTTGGTATCGGTTTGGTATCGTTATACCAAAAAGTTGGTATCCAATTTGAATTGACATCTCTAGTAACTATAGCCTCTGATCCCCATTGACGCCACGGATAGCTATTCCAGGACTTGTTTATGATGCATCTTCAATCTTCATGCTCACTTTTCGGGCGACGGCCAAAATTTGCTCATATTTGCTTTTGGAGACATGCTAATAAAAACAAACAATAATGTTCTCAGCATCATGCGACATCAAAGCATCAGTTTTCAGAGTAACTTCAGCCTTCAGGAAAAGGGTTAAAATGCAAAACAAAATATTTAAAGAAATACTCGGTTGTAAAAAAACAACTAGTCAAAACCAGCACCAGAGTGAATTTGACCCAAATAATTACTGAGAGCCATCAGGAGAAATGCGCGCCAGTCTCCCCAACCTTATAGCTGCCGACCGGGGTATTCTGACTCGGGACAAAGTTCTCGTATAGCCGGCGTCACGCAATCTTCGGATTCAAAACAGGGCCGCCGGGGCCATCCAGAGAAGACTTTAGTAGCTATACGCTTGCTGGAATAGCCACTTAGCTGGAAAAGCGGCAAACATTGGACTACTTTCGGCACCGCCCAGGACACAGCTAACTTGGTCGATAGCCATTGTGCATTTACAATTAGCGACGGGTAAAACAGTCGTCAATTTAGCTATCGTGAAATCCAATCACGAAACTGCCGACATCGGTCGTCCAAACTTTTACCCGGGCTTAACAGCGGGCGAGTTTGAAAAGCAAACTTTCGGCGGAGCTTTACACCCCAATCCGAGCAGGGTCGACTGCCCGTCCGTGGCACGGCGGCTGAAACCAGCCCGCTCTCTAAAAAAGCTCAGCTCAGCTCCCGGCGAAGGCTGACAAGAGGGCTTGTTGATCTGCAGGCCAGATGGATATATCCAGCTGATCTTGGGAACACGAAAAACGGCAACACCCCAAGCCATAAGCGGATCGATCGCCAGCTCACCTGCAGAATCCTATCCAGAGTAGAAAATGGATGAACACGTCAACATTATCTTGCGAATTCGAACAACTGGAGAATTGAGCGACACACTCTACCTGGACTCTGGAGGCATTTAGAAAATCCTGTTTCTCTTCTCCCTAAGCTGCCATAGCTCTTGACCAATTAAAAACAATAAAGAAAGAGAAAATTAAAAAACAGTAGAGAGAAAGAGGAGAGGGAGAGGAGAGATGTGGTCAGTGACCTAGAGATCCCTCTTTCTGACGTCGGTGGATGCCATCAGCTGTTGAACCAACACCATTATTCATGGAACCCTCGGTGACCTTGGTCGGCCCGCGACCACAATAACACGCCCCTCCCACCGTCGGCGGGCGGACCGGCGGGTCCGCCGTCCGCGGCTCCCCACTCACGTGTCGGGGCCGTCCGTGTCGGGTCGCTCCGGCTGGGCCGGCAGCTCCGGCTGCCAGCTGCCTGTCCGGCAGCGCTGCTCGGCCTCCCGTTCGCGCGTCTTCAGACAGTGCCGGCAGTGGACGGTGGCGGCACGCGGCCGCGACCGGGGCCCAGACACCGACCCACGCCGGTCTACGGTCGAGTTGGAGCGGGCCAGCGTAGCGCGCGGACGCACGTCGTCCCCCTCGCGCGGCGCGCCGGCCAGCAGGTCTGCGGTCATGTCCAGGAAGCGGTGCAGCAGGTTGCGTTTGCCGGGCTCGGCGGTGGCCGGCGGCGGGTTCTCGTCGACCAGCACCTCGATCTCCTCGACGGCGTCGAGCTCGCGCTCGCGCGACTCGACCATGGTCGACTGGGAGAGCGCCGACTCGCCGGACACGTGGCGCAGCTTGTCAGCCGGCTGCTGCCGGCGGGCGAGCGGCTCGGGCAGCTCGAGCGGCGGCGCGCCGGCGAACCGGAAGCCGCGCGGGAAGTCGCCCGTAGTCTCCAGGTCGAGCACCTCGATGCTGGAGTCGGACTGGACCGAGCTGAAGCTGAGCCGGTCGGGCAGCCGGCCGCGCTCGCGCCCCACCGCCTCCAGCAGGTAGTCGTCCGACACCGTGTCGAAGCTGGAGTTGAGCTCGCTGGAGGAAGTGCGCTCCCGCGCCGAGCGGTTCAGTCCCGGCTCGCTGCTGCTCGCCGACAGCTCCGAGCCGCACTCGGAGAACCGGGCGAAGCGGCCAAAGTCCTCTGCGTCGGTTCCGCCGCCGGCGCCGCACATGCGCCGCGTCTGTCGCGCCTGCTCGAACGCCACACCGAGCACATCCTTAGTGTCGTACCTTTTGGTGAGCTCCTTGTTGCCGACCCGGCACGGCTGCGCGCCGCCCAGACTGTTGAACAGGGACTCCTGGCGGCGCGGACTGGAGGCGTGGAACGAGCCGGCCACCTCCTCCATGCGGCGCCGCTCGGAGAGGTTCTCCGACACGTTGGCCATCAGGCGCACCATGCGCTCTGACAGCCCCGAGATGCTGACGCCGCGCGGGTCCTCGGCCTCCGACTCGGCGTCGGCGTCCGAGCCGGACTCGGAGCGACTGTCGGCCAGAGGCGCTGTCTGGCCGCAGCAGCAGTCGCCGTCCCGCGGGCACGGACAGTCGCCCAGCAGCGTCCGGTCGCTGTTGGTGCTGTACATCGAGTCCATCATGGAGCTCGACCACTCCGCGTCCGCAGAGTAGAAGTTGCACGCCGAGTAGCACGACTCGACCGAGGTGCCGAAGTCTGCGGCCGGCGCGACGTCCGACTCCCAGTCGGAGTGCTCGCACCGGCAGAATGCCTCCTCCTCGCCATCGGCGCCGACGGAGGCGCCGAACACGTCGTCCTCCTCGTCGCCGCTCTGTTTGCCGCTGTCGGTGCCGGAGGCGGCCGACCGCTCCAGGTCCGTCAGCGCGCTGTCCGCCTGGCCACCATCCCCGCTGGCGGCACGCGGCCGCTCACTGCCGGCAGCGTACCCACTGTCCTCGCGGTGTCGGACAGCCGACGGGCCGCTCTGGTCTGAGTCCTCACACCGCGGCAGCGAGTCCCCACTGGAGTCCAGACCGGCAGTCAGCGCGGCGCCATCACCCACCGATGTCACCGGAGCAGGCGCGGAGGTCGCGACCGACACCGACCCGCCGAGAGTGGACCGCTCCATGCTGCCAGCCCCGCGGCACGACCGCGACTGGCCCGCGGCGCCACCGGCCGCCCCCGAGCAGACATGGGCCCGGCCCGGGGAGTCCGAGACCGAGTCCGTCACCAGCAGCGGTCCCATGGCGACACTGCGTGAGTCCACCCGGCCGGCCGAGCGTCGACTGTGCGCCGCGCCGCCGCCGCTGCCGACCGCTGACCGCCGCGAGGGGGCGGCACCGACGGCACGGGCGACGGCACACGAGCGCGGCGCCGAGCCGTCGCTCTCCGACAGTGCGCACCGCGATGGGGCCCCGACGGGTGCCGCGGGAGGCTCCACCGGGTGGCGGTGCGGCAGGTCAGCCGGGCGGCGCCGACCGGTCCGTGCAGAGCTGCGTGGTAACAGACGGGCGTGTGCGAGCGCCGCGCAACTCATGGCAGGCAGCAGTGACGTCAGCCGGATAGGCGGAGACCGGGGGCGGGCGCAGAGTTCTTGTGAACGCGGAGAGACACCACAGATCAACAACCTCTTTAGTGCTGTGGGATAGGTGTGCCTCTAGTCTCTTCGAGACTCGCTCTCAGTTTTGCACTAAACGAGTCCAGGAAACAGTGGAGCTTGGCTACCTACCTAGTCCTAGCTCACACTTGGAACACTGAAATCCAAACGAAATCTATAAGCGTTGCAAGCAGCATGCATGCATGCATTTGCAACAATGCTAGGTTGTTGTCTGTTGAGAGATGTGGTCTAGATAGACCCTATGCTGGATTGCAAGAAATCAGACACAACAAGCCGGATAAAAAGGTCTGTGCCGGCAGACCAAGCAGGCGCCACTGCTGGCGTGTCAAGGCCCACGCGAACCCACGGCCTCCTGCCCCTGCCGACCGGCCGGCGGGCGTTCGCAGAACACATTGTTCACTCGCTGTCCAGACTGCCTCGGCTCCGAGAAAAGAGTCTGCGATCCGCCACAGCCCCACATGCCGGCGGACACGGGGCGAACGCTGACCGCCGCGCCGCGCCGGACGGGTACACCGAACACACCGATATATTTCAGCCCGCCGTCCGCCGCCGGCCGCCGGCCGGTGTGGGCGGGAGTCCCGGACCGCCGGCGGCGATACGATCCCGGCCCGGACGGCCCCGGATGGGACACGGCCGATAGGATCGGCCCATCATAAGGCCAGTCCGGCCCGCTGACGGAGACTGCTGGGCGCTGCCGGGGCAGCCGCGCCGCCGGAGCCGGCCGAGCGGAATCGGGGCTGCCGTTCAATTCAGAACAGAGTGGACCGGCCATCGGACGACCTTCCGCGCCAGCGCCCCAACTGATACCTCCGGATGACCATCAGGCGCCTACGTTACAACGACCTTCGAGCGAACTTGACCGACGAACTTGAGCTGAAGGACTTTAAAGACGCTGACCGGGGCATACAGGAAGGAGCGCTTCGGTTACACATCACTCGTATAGACGAGATCATGGAGTGAGGTCACTGACACGTCAGCCAGCAAAACCTGCCACCAGAAGAGCAGCTGGGCATGGAGTGATGCACTAATAGAGGTCACCGACGTTGCTCCCGGCAACAGGCAGTCTTTGGGTGGAGGGGGGGGGGACAGGAGTTGCGCCCCGAGGGAAGCAATAGCCGTGACCGGCCGGCTATCGCTTGGCTAAAAAGACTAGCCGCAGACGGTCAAAAACCCGGCCGGACCGGCCGCCGTCGCTGACCCGGCCGCTTTTTCAGTGGCGACCCCCTTCCATCGGTGCATGGGTCTCACAATGACCCTCTCAGCCTGGCAACCGGCTGCAGTCTGGTAAAAACACACTTATCAAAGCACCTAGCCTAACGTAGTAAATAGCAGCATGTTTGAACAAAACGTTGGCGCCGAGCTGCTTTCCTGACTAGGTAAAAACGTGCGCTGAGGCACTGATACCAAACAGCTAAGCCACATTTACAGCCAGTGAGTAGCTAAAAACCATACAATCTTCTATAAGTCCTCACCACTAACTTTCATCAGCTCAGCTTTCCTGAGACTTCAAAGGGATGATTGGAATTGGAACACCCCAATATCGTGGAATATGCCGAGCATGCTTTTCTCAAGCTAGCAAACAAATATTTTTCCTTTCCATTACACCATACTGATTGTAATCGGAGAGAAACACGTACTCAGTACAAAACATTGACATAAGAAGTCACCCCTCCCTCCCCCAAAAAAAAACACCACTAAGTGGTAATTTTCTCTCAAGTCTCAACAGATTTGACTGCAGTTAAAGGGACAGTATCATCGAAAAAAAAAATCCGTGTATGGAGCTGATTTTTTTTTTTACTAGCATTTCTTATTTTTCTGAATCAGAAAAACATAGTTTGAGGACCGAACTCGGTGAAAAATATTGCAACCACATTTCATTTTCATGATTCATTTTCATGAGCGAACCACCACTATACAAGTATGGCCGCTAGTTTGGAAGCATGCAAAATTACTACAGAACTGGCGCAGATAATACATTATTGACGCTACGCTTACGCGGTCGTTCTTCTGATTGAGTTGTCCTTAGGGAGAGGTAGCCTTAGGTATTGCCTATAAAAATATAACGTGACAATTGGAGGGAGTGACAATTGGACGTGACAATTGACAATGGGAGAAAATATCACGTGACAATCACGTGATAAACGTCATACATTGGAGGGAGATTGTGATTCAAGCTGGAGGAATTCCTTTGTTGAGCCGCTAGAATCCGAAGGAAACAGCGGAAATTGCCTACGACTATTTAATGAATTTAACGGTGATGAATAAGTGCGAAAAACGTTTTGGCTTTATAAAATTTGATGAAATGACCAGGGTAAAAGTTTTATTACTGGCGGTCAATTCAAAACGGCGCAAACATTTAAACAGTGAAGATAGTGAAGCACGATTCAAAGTGTGGTACACCTTTCGTACTTTGAGCGGCGATAGCGGGATAACGGTGTGGAGCTTCGAGGATCGGTCTTCAGTTTCCGGACCAGAAAGGTGGGGCCTATGCAATGTCAAATTTCATCAAAATGGTGATACTGTCCCTTTAAGAGCTTATCATTTGATAAGCCCCCCTAAAAAATCACGCATGAGCAATAACAAAATACGCATTCCGGTCCGAGCCCTAAAATCTCGACGCTCCCAGTCCCGCGAACCAGCATCTCTCCACCCCATCTCTCCACATCCCACACCCATCAGTCAGCGACCGTCGCCGACTGGAACGGCGCCTGTCATCACCAGCCCCCTCTCTAATCTGTTCGGTCCCGCGCGGCGGGCGCCGGCCGCCGCGGCCGGTCCAAGGGTCGCCGCCGTCCGCCGTCCGCCGGCCGGCCAGTGACGTTACTGCGCCTGCACGTGTCCGCTCGGCGCGTGCACGTGCCGGGCGCACGAGCACCGAGCACAGAGTGCCAGCGAACACGGCCGCGGCGGGAGTGTGACGGAACAGTCACAGAATGGGCCGGGGTGACGTGACGTGCGCCGGGAGGGGAGGGAGGAGACTGCACTGGCGTCTTTGATGGGGTTACAACAGTGCAGCGACTGAATTAGAACAGATAATATGCCCAGAGCATGAGTACTGAGTAGCTGGATATGCTTGTCGTGTACGGTGTAGTAGAGCAAAATGCAAAAAAAAAACATCAACGAATAGCACCGAATGATCAAAAACATGTTTAATAACTCTTTATCACTCGATGAACTTGGGACGGAATGAAAGTTTTCCAGGATTTCAGTTTCAGCATTGCCAAAAAAACGTTTCAATGAGGCAATAATGTACCAGAATTTCGAGACTATAACATGTTCCTTGGTTCTTCCAATTTTCGATGAGATGCTCGCGTCCTTGTGTCCATTCCGAAATAATAATACCAATAGGTCCGGGTTGTTTATTAGTCCAGCCATTGACTGTTTGGCATCCGCGTTCCAGCGCAGTTCTGCGTCGCTGCGTCCTAGGCAGTGTCGCAAAGGTGACCCCTAGATCGAGCATCTCTCCCCGAGGGACCTCCATGAGCAGAGGATGACCCGCACAGGGGTGACCCAGGGAGGCTCCCGAGACCACAGACCCCCAACAGGCCCCTCCGAGAGCTGCTCGGTGCCCACCAAACCCAAACATGCCTCCGTCACCCACCAATCCAGAGGTGACCCGTGCTCGGTCCCCCGTCACCGCCTGGCGCCACGGGACGCGTCACGGACGTGTAGCAGGCACGTCACAGTGTGACACACGCCATAGAAACGCTCATCGTCAACACGCCCGCGCCGCCCGCCCGGACAGCGCTGTGACGCCGGCGGCCCTGTCACCCGTCTCGCCGTCTTGTTGCCATGCGCGGCGAGTATACAGGACGGCGCGGACAGGGCGATGCCCCGCTGACCCGGTGGTGGTGGGCCGGACCGGACCAGGACCGGGCCGGGACCGGAGACCAGTGCGGCTGAACCCCGCGGCGCCCAGCTGAGCTGTGAGCGCTCCGAGCTCACGGAGCCGCCCGCAAAGTTCCACAAGGCCATGGCCGAGCCGGCGCGTACCGGCTCGAACCGGCTGGGAGAGCTACTCTCACTGCGGGTGAGCGGCCGGCGCGGCGGCGCGGCGGGTAGCGGGCCAGGGAACGGCGGTCCGGCGGCAGGTAGCGGGCCGGGAACGGCGGTCCGGCGGCAGGTAGCGGGCCGGGAACGGCGGTCCGGCGGCAGGTAGCGGGCCAGGGGACGCCGGCCCGGCGCGGCGGCAGGTAGCGGGCCAGGGGACGGCGCAGCGGTCCGGCGGCAGGTAGCGGGCCAGGGGACGGCCGCGGTGGTCCGGCGGCAGGTAGCGGGCCAGGGGACGGCGCAGCGGTCCGGCGCGGCGCCGCCCAGTGAGACGGTGCAGTGGGTGCCGGCAGTGAGGTGCGGGATGGTGGAGACGGTGTGACGGAACGGGCGGTGGGACTGATTCTTTGTAACCGCACAAAACAGATTAGCTCAACAAGAATAGGTCAGATGGTCCATGATATTACTGTAGCCATACCTAATATGAATAATGTTATCTACGCTACAGCTTATCACAGGCGTGAGCACTTGCTGCATTGAATTCAACCCAGATTCTCAGGGACCCAAGCTTATTCACAGGCACAGATAAGTTTTTTCACACAGACCAGCCTCCAGAGAGCATCTGCAAGCCACGCGAGGCAATGGGCTAAACTCAGCACCAGCAGCATCAAGCCCTGAATGTTTCCAG